ATGGCCTTCAGAAACTGGGGGTTGCTTTCCTTAGGAAGACCCTCTGCCCTGCCTGGCCTCTCTTCCCCCCCCCCCCCCCCGAGGTGCTTAGGAAGATTCAATATTAAGTGTCTAGAACGGGGGTCTCCAACCTTGGCAACTTTAAGACTTGTAGACTTCAACTCCCAGAATTCCCCAGCCCTTTGGTTGCAGCCAGCCCTTGGCAAGGTCAGACCACAGGGCTTTCAGGCCCGCCCCCCGGTTTGCCCTTTGTGGCTTGCCACCCCGATTGTCTGCCCATCTGCCCTGGTCTCCTTTTCTAGGCCGAACCCCTAAGCTCCACTGGCCCCCATGTTGGGCTCCCCAGGATTGCTCCAGGGCACCGGCTGTGCCAGGCAAGAAGGGCAGCCTTTCCAGAGGGCCTGCCCCTCCCAGGACTGCCAAGCACGGCTCGTTCTTCCACTGGCCTCGGAAAGCCGGGGGGGGGGGGGGGGGGGGGGTGGAGTCCATCTTTGGGACGTCCTGCCAGAGGCTCTTCTGTTCAGCCCCCATAGGGACTTTGGGTGGCTCCCTGCAGGGTTCTCCCGCCGTCTTTGGGCAGGGTGGTTTTGCCAGTGCCAGGAAGGGGCGTGGCAGAGGAGCGGCTCCTTGCTTCCCTGCCTTTCCTCAGAGGTGCTTCTTCATGCCAGGTGGCAGCGGTGGCAGCAGCACTTCTTCTCAGAGCCAATCCGGGCTGGTCCTGTGGCTTCTTGGGTGCCCGTTCCGGCTGGACCAGCTGCTCCGGTCATGGCTGCCACCTCCGCCAGAGCAGGCTGGGCTGAGGAACCTTTGTTCTGCAGAGGGGGTGCCATCCCACTTCACACAGATGCTGTGCTGGGCAGAGTCTTCCAAGCAGCATTTGGACCTCCAAGCTTCCCCTGGGCTGATCAGATGATGGCAGCTGCCCAGCCAGCTGCTCCTGCTGCCCAGCTTCTCCCAACTGGGGTGGAAGGCCTGTGCCCAGTGCCCCCACTTGCCATCAGAGCTCACTAGATGGCTTTCCTGGTGAAGACTTTTAGTTGGGGGGGGGGCTTCTGTCGGCCTCAAGCTGGCCTGGGGCTTTGAGGGTCCTGCAAGGCTGAAGGGGAAGAGGCGGCTGCTCCCTGGCTCGCGGTTCCTGCCTCCAGGAGACCCGTCTGCCTCCCTTGGCTGCTGGGGGGCCCGCAGTTCGCCCGCGGGGGGGGGGGTGAGTGTGTGGCGTCCGGCGGCTCTTCACAGGGAGGCGGGCCTGACTGGATCCTGTAGCGGCGCGAGGGAGGGTCGTGCGGAGGGAATGTGAGTCCCCTGAAAATAGAAGCCGCCGTTCTACATGAAAGGCCGGGCGGGCACAAGCGGCGGGTTTCCCGCCACTCTCGAGGCCGCCCTTGAACGAGCCGAGTTCGGGGGCGTCTGCGGCCGTCCGCTGTCCCTGGCCGGCCATTCCCAGCCTCCCTTCTCCCAGGGAGGGGCTGCGGCCGAGGCTGGAGCGCCAGCGTTTGCCCTCCGGCCAGGCAGTCCCTCGGGCCCCGACGAGGCTTCTGGAGAGGGCAGCGCAGGGCTTTCGTTCCCCCGCTCGGCCCCCGACGGCCCGGCCCGGCCGCCTTCTCGAGCGGGGCCCTCGGCGGCACCGGTCGCGGAAGGCGTCACCTGAGGCAGGTAAATCACCGGCTTGGGGGGAGAAGCTTCCCGAACTCTTCGCGAGACACCTGCGAGCCTGGCTGTCAGTTCGGCTGCGGCCGTGGCTCCTCTCTCAGTCAGGGCGGGATCCGTGGGCGACGCGCGCCGTGAGTCACCGCGCCGCCCGACGCTCCTGAAAGACCCTCTGGCTGCGGGGAATCCGGCCTCGCCCCTCCCCGCCTTCTCCGCTTTGTGAGCGCCTCATTATCCGTTTATTAAAAACATTTCTATACTGTACTTAAAAATCCTGAAGACGCCAATAATATTTGCAAAAAAAAACCCAAAAACCTCTAAACACCAAATAGATTAAAAGTTGAATTAAAACCATCCATTCAACCCCAGAGGGAAGTGTTAGTAGAATTAATGGCAAATGAAAGGCAAGATGAAAAGTTAATTTTTCCATGGGTGCCAGAGATCCGTCTGGCATTACTGGGCACAGCATGAAGGGCTCTCGGCTGCTCTGTCCATGGGCTCCTCCTGCAGAAATCCCCCACCCACCTCCTTTCCCTCTGACTGGCAGGCCTGGGACCCTTGGGGGTCTGCATAAGGCCCCCTTTCCTGCTCTCCAGCTTTCCACCCTGGGTATTGCCCACTCTCAGCCCCTCCCCCCACACGCCCTCTTTCCTTCTTTGGCAGCACACTCCCCCATTGGGCCAGGGCCCAGAAGGAGGGCCGTACCACCACCACCCGCAAGTTATGGGGCAAGTGGCTCCTTTGCCACCTGGAGCAGATCTGTGGAAGGGGCAACTGCAGTCTACAGTCTCCTCCTGCCGTTTTCCACCCGAAGGCCTTGGCTGCTAGAGTTGTTCACACAGCATTCTGCTCACCCGGGTTCGAAGGTTCTAGGACCTTTGGATTTTGCCCCAAGCCTTGTGTGACCCCAAAAGAATTGGTGAATCCAGTGCCCCGTGCAGCCGGTGGCCTGGAGGCAGCGGGAGAACTGCCACAGTTCCTGCAGAGAGCAAGGGGTCTGTGGGGGACCAGGGCTAGAGGGAGGGAGGGCTGTGGGGCTTGATTAAAACGGCTTTTCCAAACCCCGAGCAGAGGACTTCACTGGCATCTCAGGACCAAGCTGCACTGCCCACAACCTTCCTATCAGAACAAACGTGGCTACCTCTCTCGGGACCATGGTTTCATTCACAATTAGCAGCAACTCAGGTTAATCACCTCTTGGCTACATCCACCTAATACGCTAGGCTCCGCTACTTTCTCACTGGCTTAGCGTTAGGTGATGGCAGTGCTACCTTTCTATCTGACCCAAAAAATATATTCTGCGAACTCAGTGGATAACTGTGGGTCAAGGTTCCCACAGTGGGCTAATTAATTAAACCAGCTGCGCTGCATGGAACCCCCCCCCCCCCTTCAATCCCAAGTGATGGAAAGTCGCTCTGGCCAATGTATAGGGAGAATAGACATGGAGAGGCCAGGAGAGCCCCCCGTGATTCCTTCGGGGCCCAGCCAGGGAGCAGAGCCAGCCTCTGCTGCATAGTGAGCCCACGAGGGTCGGCTGTGGTGAAAGGCATGAGTGGGAAGGGAAGGATCCCACCTAAAAGGCTGCTGGTCGGCCAGCCTCTGGCCCTCCTTGTGCCTTCAATGGGGAGGTTTCCTTCTTCCTAGCAACTCACCCTGCCCGCTCCAAGGCTAAGAGACCCCTTTCTGGGCAGAGGTGCATCGGGCCCTAGTAGGAGGGGGGCAGGCAGGCTAGGGACGATGGTCCTACTTCCCTGCTTAAAGGCCCAGGGAATCCCCTTGCCACCAGAGACCTGTCTGGATGGAGAAAGCAAAGCCCCATGAGTCACAGCCATACTGGCTCACCTGGACAGAAAGGGCCAAGGGGATCTCTGCCCATTGGAGGACATTGCTGGCACCCACCTGCTGGACTTCCTGCTGCAAGTTCCCCACCTCCAACAGCCTACAGCCCCTCCAAGGCCAGTCATCCAACCACTTTGAAGGAAGACTGAAACCAAGCCGGCCATTCTAGCTCAAAGGACACCCAGAGGCAGGCATCCCAGAGAATGGCGCTCTCAGCCTCCATGCGGCTCCATCCAGCACAAGCCGGCAGCAGCAGCAGTCCACTCGTCTGGTCGTGGGCCTTGGGAGCAATGTCCAAGGCAGCCCCGTCCAGCCCATTGGCCATATTCCTCAGAGCAGCAGCACTCAAGGCCTCTCCATGGCCCCCTTGGAACGGTTCCTTTTGGCCAGGGGCTCCCCGAGCTCCAAGTGATCTGGGGCAGGCAGAAGCTTGACTGAGAAGCCACCAAGAAGCCAACATCGCCCAAACCAGGTCTTGGAATGAAAGTGGCCCCAAAGGAATCCAGGTAGGGCTCCCTGACCATGCAGGTAAGATGTAGCAGGACTGGAAGATGCTAAGGGAACCCAGGAACACCAGACTAGGAAGGGGGAGGCTGGGAGGTGCCAGACAGGGGTGGGTGGGTGGGAGCCTCCAGCAAGCCCACCTATGGCAAGGAGGCCGCCCATCTTCCACCAGAAGAGAGAGGCCAGGGCTGAGTGGAGGCTGCTCCATCCAATGAAGGGGGGGGGGGCAGTCAACGTGACCAGCTGCCTCCTTGCCCAGAAAAGGTTGCAGGATCCAATCCTGCTGGAAGTAATTTCCCTTCTTCTTATTCTTTAGCAACAACAACAACAAAAGCTCCTGGAATCAGGCTGCAAACTGTAACAATTGTTCAAATTCTTGCACCGAGAAGGCTCCTCCCACTCCCACAAGAGCCACCTAAGGCAGGACTCCAGCAGGCAGCGCCAGGCCCTTCCCAATCGAAGCCCCCCAGGACCACCCGAGGGCCAGCTGGGCTGTGGGAGGGGCGCAAGAGCAGGACCCTCCCTGCCCAGGAAGCACAGCACCGCTGCTTTTCTGTTACTTTTATTGTGTGCAAGACAAACCAAGGCAGCCAAAATCCAGGTACCCCCCCACCACCAAAGGGGGCAGCGACTCCTCAGGTTCCAATGAGGATCCACACGGTCCAGTTTCTTTTTGCACAGCAAAAGATCCGGGGGGGGGGGGGGAGGGGAGGGAAGATGATCTCCTGGGGAAGAGCCCCCTTTCCCCAGCCTTCCGGGTAAAGACGCCCCTCTCCCCGCAGAGTGGGAGCCACGAAGGAGCCCCGCCCTTTCAGACGCCAAATTCCACGGCTGTAAACAAACGCGCCCCTCCCCCACCCCGAGGACCGACCGACATTTGGCCGCAGCTGGGGGAAGGGGCGGCAGGCCGGCCGACCTCCGGCGCCCATCCCGGGCCGTTCTCCGCCGGGCCGCCCTCTTTCCTGGCGCCGCCTGGGGGCCCTCAGATCCGCGGGAGGAAGCGGGACTGATCAACCGCAGTCGGCCTCTGGGCTGTGGCAGGACCGCAAGGGCGGCGGGGGTGAGGAGCCCCCGCCGCCCTCGTGTCCATTGCTCTCGATGGAAGACTCGCTGCCGGTGCTCTCCCCGGAGAGCAGGCGGGTGACGCGCAGGTCGGCGCGGAGAAGCGCCACGTCGTTGCCGATGGCCAGCTCGCCCAGTCCGCAGATGAGCTGCCCCAGGCTGGACCCCGCGGGCGCCGCGCCCTCCCCGTCCTCCTCCTCCTCCCCCTCCAGTGGGGCCAGCAGCTCGTCGTCCTCCCCCTGGCCGCCGTCGCAGTCCTCCCCCTGGCCGCCGTTGGCACAGCCCGGCCCGGCGGCGCGCTCCTCCAGTTCCTCGCCCAGCGAGTCCTCGGTGATGGAGCCCAGTTTGGGCGCGCTGCGGCTTCGCTCGACGGGCGGCTTGTAGCAGCCACCCGGCCCGTGCAGGAGCAGCTTGCGGAGCGGCACCAGCGGGATGGCGCCGTCGGCCCCGGGGCCCACCTGCTGCAGCTGCTGGTGCCGCGCGTCGGCGCGCTTCTTGAGGCGGCGGAACTCGGCCAGCGCCGCCGCCGATGTCTGGTACAGCAGCAGCGCCATGGCGCGGGCCTTCTCCGCCTTGGAGACCAGCACGGCGTGGCAGCGGAGCAGCACCGCCTTGTGCTTCACCTCGTGGCGGTAGATCCAGGCGAAGAGACGCGGCAGGCGCGGGTCCGCCACGCAGTAGGTGACGCGGTGCAGGAGGTAGAGGTGGCCCGGACGGGAGGCGGCCTCCGCCGGCACCGCGGGCGCCAGGCGGATGCCCTGCGGCCCGATGGTCAGCTTCATCTTGGTGCCGTGGCGGCCGGCCTCGCTCTTGGCCCAGATCTTGGCCACCGCCACGTCGGTGCAGCCGTCGCCCTTGGCCTGCAGCGTGGTGGCGTTGCCCAGGTAGAGCGCCGTGTAGGTGGGCGCCTCGCTACTCACGCGGAACTTCTTGCGCTTGGAGCGGAACAGGCTGCCCATCCTGGAGAGGGCGCTCTCGGCCGGGCAGGCGCGGGCCAGCGAGCCCAGGGCGGCGGAGCAGGGCAGGCTCCCGGCGCCCGCCTGGCAGTAGTCCTTGGCCTTCCCCGACGGCGGAGAAGCGCCGCGCGGGCCCGCTTGCTGCTGCCGCTCCCGCCGCCGGCCCTGCTGCTGCGGCTGCTGCTGCTGCTGCGGCTGTTGCGGCTGTTGCTGACACTCCTCATCCGCGGCCAGCAGCTCGAATTTGTGCCTCTTCCAGGGCAGCATCGCGGCGCCCCCGCCGCTTCCCGACGGCTCAGCCAGTCCGGGGCGCTGCGGCTGCTGCTCCCGGTCCTCAGCTGGACGCGCCCGTCGTCGCCCCGGCCGCCCGCGCATCCCGAGGGACCGCCGGCCCGGGCCTCTCCGCCTGCCGCCGCCGGGCGCGCGCCCGCCGCCATTCCGTCGCCATCGCCGCCGCCGCCGCCGCCGCCGCGCGCGCGTTACATGCCGGCCTAGCCCCGCTCCGCCGCCGCGCCTCTGCTGGCGCTGCCTGGCCGCGCCGCTACATATAGGCCGGGCGAGGGAGGTCGCTGCGCCGGGAGGCGGCGCCCGCGATGCCGGCCGCGAGCCGAAGGGGAGGGGCCGAAGCTATGGCCGTTGGGTCGGGGGGCTCAGCCGTGGCTCCCCGCCCTGCTCGCTCCCGCGGCCAGCAGCCCCGGAATGGCGGCCGGAGGAAACCTGGCCTTCTGTCCCAGGACGAAGCGGAGCGCCTTCTCGCCTCGGGAGCCCCCTCCCAAGAGCCCCCTCCGCGCGCGCACGCTTGGAAGGGGCTGCGACCGGGCGTCCAGCTGCGGAGCCGCACTCGGGTCGCCTGCTCCCTGCGCCCCTCCGTGTCTGCCGGCTGCCGGTCCCGGCCCTTCCACCGGGCAAGCGTCGCCCGCTTGGGCCGTTTCCTGACCCGCTGTGGAAGCTTTCAAGCGCTCCCGGCCTCATCCAACACGGCTCGGCCTGACAGGCCGGGTATTGCGCTGGGAGGGGCTGCTGATGCCCGGTCAGGAAGCTTCTGGTGCTTTTCAGGCCTTTCGCTGCAAGATCTTTCTGAACAGGCCTTTTTGGTTCCTCCTATTGAGATCTGTTTTTCTTCTCTGTTTGATGTTAAGGAGGATTTTACACTTCAGGTTTAGAGGTAAATGGACCATCTCAAAAAGTGCACACTTGACTGCACACTTAACCTGGTAACTGAACTAAGTGATACACTGATGGATTAATGGGCAAAGCTGGGTTTGCTACAGCACTAAGCCACAATGGATTGAAGAACTGGTAAACCAAGTTTGAAAATGAGTCTGTGACTTCCTCAGGTGCAGCTGTTTACTCAGCTTTGGGGTCACAGTGGAGACAGACACTGGGGCCAATTGTATCCTAGAGTTGTATGAATGTGTTCCAGCTGGCACTTCTGAGCAAGAAATGCTGTGGCATTCGGGGCTTTTCCCAAAGGTGCTGGCGAACCAGGAGAAGTCCCAGGGGCAAGACTACCCCGTGGACTGCAACTAAGGTGCTGCCTTGGCACTGGGCAGACCCAGGTTCAAGCTTCCCATAGCTATGGAAGCCAGAATAACAGAGTTGGAAGAAATCTTGGGGGCCTCCTAGGACACCCCCGGCTCAAGGAGGAGCTCCTAGAGACCCTCCCATTTAAGACAAATGGTCCCCTGATCTCTTCTTGGAGGCAGCCATTCCACTGATTGTTTTTATGTCAGAAAATTTCTCCTTAACTGGAGGTTGGATCTCTCTTTCATGACCTTCCCACCCATTGCTTCCTGTTCTGCCTCCAGGTGCTTTGGAAAATAGGTTGACCCCCTCTTCTTTGTGGCAGCCCCCCCCAAATACTGGAACACCGCTCTCCTGTCGCCCCGTCCTTCTTTTCACTAGAGTAGACACACCCAATTCCTGCAACCATCCTTCTTATGTTTTAGCCTCCCACGCTCTCAATCAGCCCCCTCATTAAGACTTGCAGTCAGCCCTACCTTACAGAGCTGTTGTGAGGAAAAGCAGGAAGAGAAAACATTATCACGTATCCTGCCTTGAGCTACAAACAGAAGGTGGGAATCAAATCTAAAAAATAAGCCAATAGATTTTTCTCCATTTCTGCTAAGTGGATGGAGTCTGCTATGGGGGGAGGTTGCCAATCTAGATGGGCAAGGTGCAGGAGAAGCAGCGCCACACAAACACACCACCTGTCCCCTTGTATGCTGTGGTAGAAGAGAAGGTAGAGGTGGGCTCAGTCACAGGCTAGGGAAAGATTTTTCAGCCGCAGGATCTGAGTGTTGGGGGGGAGGGCAGGCAGGATCTCAGGCAGGTCCCAGGAAGTGGAAAGAGGGTGCTAGTGCTCTTCCCTCTCTTGGTGCTGCCCCAACCCAGCCCACTGATTCTTCCTAGCAATGGATGAGGACAAGATGTGCTGCCTGCCAGTGCTGGGCAGCTTAGCTTGGAGGCTTTGACCTTCTTTGTCGAGAAGTACCTGGTCACTTAAGGTGGCCTAAAAGCTGTGTCCAACCAACGTTGTCATTCTCAGCTTAAAAGCCACCACAGAACCTGCTCAGTGGAATGAAAGTGGCTTGAGACCGGCCATTTCTCCTTCCCTCTGCTGGATCCTTTGCACTCCCAGGCCTCCCCCACCCTCCACCATAACACGTTTTGGCGCTCAGCCGGTGTGCGCAGGGAGCTACAAACTCCCCAGGCTCGCCTTACACGCGCACGTGCAAGCGCTCATGCCAGCAAGCAGCCCCCCCCCCCCCCCCCATGCATGGCCGGACGGACCAATTCCACGGCTGGGCAGCGGCATCGCCTCCGCCTGAGTTCGGAGGACAGCCGCGGCCCCTGGCGCTTGGGCTACGGCGGGTCTTGTTCTGTCCCCTGATGCCCACGAGGTGGACCGGCCCGTTTTGGGCAAAAGAAACAGCCAAGTGGCACCGGCGTCGCCCCTTCTGCCGACGCGCAAGAGACGGCGCGGGTCTCGTGAAAAGGCGACCCCGCCTTTATCTCCGGGTTCCTTGCCCGGAAGGCTGAATGGTCGGATTAGCCGCCTTCCAGCCCACTTCCCCCGCGTCAGGCTTCTAGTCCTCCTTGTACTCCGAAGCTCTCTCCCCCCCCCCCCCCCCCCCCAAGCAAATGGGAAGGAGCGGCGGCCCTTCAGCGCCCCCGTGAGGTCGCCGCTGCCGCCGCCGCCGGAACTAAAGGTTTGCGGAGCGCAGTTTTCGCCCGGAGCCTTCGCGGAGGCGCTACCGTCCGCGCCGCTGATTGGCTGCGCCCGGCCGCATGCCCGGAAGCGCCGAGCGCGCGATGGGGAAGAAACAGGCGCCAGGACTGGGGCGCTCCCTCCGTGGCGGCGGCCGCCGCCGGGCGGGCGAGGCGGGATGGGTGAGCCCCCTTGACCCCCTCCCTCCCTCCCTCCCTCCCCGTGGGGGCGGGGCGGGGCGGGCGGGACGCCTCCGCGGCCCCCGCTAACGGCGCGTCTCCTCCTCCCCCCGCAGCGCCACACGAGCGAGCTGAGCGAGCAGGGCCGCGGCCCCCCGCCGCAGTCGGTGACGGAGCAGAGCCCGCTGGAGGCCTTCCTGGCGGCGGCGGAGCTGGCGGGCGCCGCGTTCGCCGCAGGTGAGGAGGGCCGGGCCGGGCGGGGGGAGGGAGGGCATCGTGGGGTGGGGGGCGCCTCCGCCCGCCTGACGCGGCTCTCCGTCCGCAGAGAAGCTGAACGCGCGCCTGGCCCCCGGCCGCGGGGCTGCGGAGGAGGAAGCCGGCCGGCCGCAGAAGGAGGAGGAGGAGGAGGAGGAGGAGAAGCGGGTCCTGCGCATCCCGAGAAGGTGCGTTTCCCGAAGGCCGCTCCGGAGGACCGGCGGGGGGCGGGGGTCTCCTAGCCAAGGCCGGGCGGGGGGCGGAGCGCTGCTGGGACTCCGTCCCCTTGCCTGAGGACGCAGGAGCGGCGTCTCTCCCTGGACCCCGCTCCTTTCAGCCCCTCCGCCACCGCTTCCCTCCTTCGGCTGAGGCGTCTGCGCCTCTTCCCGGCTTTGTGATTGTAGGCAGATTTCACCCTGAGCTCCTTATAATAAACCCCGACGGTGATAACACCGTTATTGCTCAAGTAAACGTGAGCTTGCAGAAGCTGTGGGCAACTTGGATAATGCCAACTAGGTTGAAAGGCGCCTCGTTTTGTTTGTTTTAATCTTATCAAGGTTCCTGTGAGCTTTGCTTAATGGTGAAGAATAGGTTGAGCACAAAGCCAGGCCTCCTATTTGTACCTCAACGGTTGTGAGAAGGAAGGAGGGCCTGTGAACTGAAATCTCGCATGCTCTGCGCATTGTTTCCTCCTCTGGTCATGAATCATGACAGGCAAGACTTGGCATCTTTTCCCTGCCTCTTCTGGGTTTTTAAAATAAAATTTTCCCTAAAGAAATATTTTTGAGGACTTGACAGTTTGTGATGTTTTGTGTTCTTGAGCTGACTTATGTAGGAAGGGAATCCTTTGGGTGAGATCTTTGCCCTTGAGTTAAAAAACAAGGATAGAACGTGTTCCTGCCTTTTTCTAGGCCACCAAGGAAGGACTTTATGCAGGACAAGAGGTTGGGCTAGAAGACCTCCAGGGTGTCTTCCAATTCTAAGATTCTGCATCTCTTGTCGGCAGCCGATAGCCGGCTCTTTTCAAGCTTCATTTCCATCCCTTGTTTTGCTTTTCTGCTCTTTCACTGTTCGATGAAATCTGCCCTCCCATGAATTTTGGATAAATACAAAATGTTTTGAGTTCTGTTCCTCTTTCCTTCCGTGTTCCTTTCAACTATTCATTCTCGGCCATAGAAGCTGCCTGCGAAAAGTTACTCCCCGTCTTCCCTGAGGGGCAGGAAGAACCGCCTAAAATGCTCACCAACCAGAAAGTCACTTCCCAGCCTGTCCAGCTCTCTTTCCAGCCTTCCTCTAGGCTCCTCGACCTGTAGCCCACTACCCTGCTGTGGCCTATTTTCAACTGGGCCTTGTGAGAGGCAGCCGGTATATGTGCACACAGCTCAACTTACATGAGCTATGGGTGCTAGCACTCACAACCCCACTCCCACAAATGAAGCTGTGTGCGTGCACACAAAACCATCCTCCCCACCCCACCCCACCCCAGGCCACCAACCTGGAATGGTTGGGGAAGGCTGCTCTAGCGAGTGCCTCTTGGTTTCTATTACTGTGATGACCCAGAGTGTAAACAAACGTAACAAAATCCAAAACGTAAATAAATGTCCTTTAATGCCTCCAACTTGGCCCCACTGTTCAATAATTCTCAGTTGGAGATAAAACGTACTTAAAAATAGTCTTCAAAAGAAAGCAATACAGTCCTAATTTAATGAGCAGATAGAGGTGAAAATAAAAACCAAACAAACTACAATGATGAAATTTCCACAACGGAACAGGAGAAGTATTTACCAAATTCAAGAAGATAACAAGGCACAGTCTGTTGGAAGAACGCCAACCAAGATAGCCTCAAACCCAAATAAAACACACTTTGTCTCCAGCGTTTGCCAGAACGCAGGTCCAAACTCTTATGCAGTTCTCACACCTGCAGCCCATGAAGAGGATCAAGGCCCTCTCCTCCCAAGTAGACCACGTCTCTCCCTTATCCTCTCCTCCTTGCGTGCCTTAGGATGGATAGGGGGTGGGCCTGGGTCCTCCTCTGACTGTTCACGGCCTCTGCCCTTCCCCAGCCTCCTCCACAACCTCCACTCCCTGTTGGCTGTTCCTCCTCTCCCTCAGGGTCAGTCTCCACCAGGGGCATGACAATTACCAAAACTGTCTCTTCCAAGATCATTTTCTACTATTCTGAAGCAAGTGTTTTTTTGTGGCGCCCAAACCTCTTTTTTCATTTTGTGCTTCGTCCTTCCAGGCCGCCATGGGACGAACAAACAAGCCCTGCAGCATTGAACCAGGCCGAAAGAGACAGCTTCCTGAGGTGGAGGAGGCAGCTTGCTTGGTGAGTGGCATTGGCTCAGGGAGTCAACAACGTGCCCCTGAGAAACCTAAGTTGGGACTTGGGGAGACTGCCAAAGGCGGGGAAAGGGGGGGGTACCCCACAAGACTTGGCTGTGGTTCTCTCATATCTGTTGGAGAGACAGAGATGGAGGCAGTTGAAGTTCTTTGTTGTCTAATCCTTTTGGTGGAAGGGATTGTTAATATCAAGGTTGCCTTCTACCTGGGCAAAAGGGCTATGGCACCTCAGCCCCCAAGTATGACAGAAAAAAAGAATGTAATCAGAAATTATATAATGTTCTCGGCAGACAAATACTTTGGTTTAAACAAGTGTCCTCATCATTGCTCTAGGAGGCCCTAGTCAGTAAACAGAGTAAAATAGAGGCAGGTGGAAGAAAGGCTGAGGTCGTCCTTAATCTTTAGCCAGGTTTAATGTGAAGTCAGAAAAACTCTCAAAACCTTAATCCAGTCTCTTTTAAAATATGTATTTGGCCACCTCAAGGCAGCTGATGCTTCCTCCTATTTTTCCCCCAACAATAACTCTGTGAGGAGGGTTGGGCTGAGAGGAAGACTGGGCCCAGGTCACCCAGATGGTTTCCATACCTATATGACAGCTGATGCCATTTGGTAACAGATAACAGATAATGAGAGTTGGAAGGGACCTTATAGGTCATGTAGTCCAACCACCCCGCCTAAGCGGGAGACCCTACACCATTTTTGACAAATGGCAGTCCAGTCTCCTCTTGAAAGCTTCCAAGGATGAAGCTCCCACAATTTCCAAGGGCAACTTCTATTCCATTGGTTGATTGTTCTCACAGTCAGAAAAATTTCTCCTTATTTCCAGGTTAAATTTCTCCTTGTTCAGTTTCCATCCATTATTCCTTGTCTGGCCTTACAGGCGCTTTAGATAATAGCTTGACCCCTTCCTCCTCTCTGTGGCAGCCCTCAAATATTGGAAGGCTGCTCTCCTGTCTCCCCTGGTCCTTCTCTTCACTAGACTAGCCAGGCCCAGTTCCTGCAACCGTTCGTTGTATGTTTTAGCCTCCAGTCCCCTAATCATCCTGGTTGCTCTTCTCTGTGCTTTTTCTAGAGTCTCAACATCTTTTTTATAATGTGGTGAACAAAACTGGATGCAGTACTCTAGGTGTGGTCTTACTAAGGCTTTATAGAGTGGTATTAGTACCTCCCTTGATCTCGATTGTATCCCTCTGTTAATGCAATTTAGGATTGCATTAGCTGTAATGGACATTGGTTTGCAGCAATGGCTTTTCATGATGTTTTTCCTTTTTTAAAGTTATGTCTGAGCAATTTATAAATGTAAAAAATGAGAGACTTCCAGAGAGGCAAGTCATGAGTTCAAAGCACATGAGCAAGTTTAAGAGGCTGGAGTGAGCGAAAGAGGCTCTCCTCCCCACAGAGAAACTGATGTGGCATGTTGGGAGCTTCTTTGAGATGGTTTTTCACCTGATGTCAAGAAGTGCTCAATATACTGAACATTCAAGACAGGAGGAGAAAGTTCACTCATTAAACAAGATTATTCAGAACGAAGCAGTTTAAAAAATTGCCCTTGTGTTGTTTCATATTTTGTCATAGCCCAGCCTTAAAATGAAATCAACTGAAAATAAAATTCAGATAACAGCAAAGCTTTTATTAAATGGCAGAAACAGCCCTGAGGACAAAGTTAGCCAACAAATGGAGAAGATGGCTTCTGCAAAGTGAAAGGACGCTCCCCTCCCAAATCTCTGGAGGGAGGGGGCTCCAAGTTGCGCCTCCAGGGGAAACTGACAGAAGCCAGGAAGGAAATTTTCAGCATCTCATGCAGCAAAAGGGTCAGAGATGATGGACTTCACAAAATTGCTCTTTCAGACCTGTGTTTTATTCTGCAGGATTTATGCCTCTCAAGTTCATAGTATCATTCATTAAATAAAAATGTGATTGAAACCAACCAGAAAACCATCTCTGAGTGTGCTTCCTTAAAATCCCCAAGATTCTTTCTTCCCCTGCATTCTTACAGGCTGGAGGAAGAGGAGAGCCTCCTGCTGACCCCGTTTGAGCGAAACTTGGATTTCTGGCGTCAGCTCTGGCGAGTCCTGGAGAGAAGGTAGCTGTGCTTAGACTGTGATAGTCCAGCCCGCCTCCTGGGCCCAGGCAGGTTCTCTCCTTGGAGGCTCAGGCTGCCTGTCAAGAGCAGGTGGGATGGTGAAAAGGGGTCTCCTTGTGGACAGGATGTTCTTGGCAGAGCCCGAGCCGGGTGGCCCTGGCAAGAGGACCTCCTGCCATGAAGGAACAGCCTTGGGAACGGTGTGTGTGTGTGTGTGTAGGGCTGCTCTTGCCTGCCTGCAGTGTGTGGTGTGTGTGGTGTGTGTGTGTGTGTAGGCTGGCTGCTTCCTCGGCCTCCATATGCTGGGATCCCGTGGGTCAGGACTGCCTCGAGCCCTCTGTCCTCGGCGAGAGCGAGATGGGGATGAGCTCAGGGTGTTGCTTTAAGCGGAGGGAGTAGCGCCTCTGGCCTTCTCTTTTGCAGTGATGTTGTGGTTCAGATCGTGGATGCCAGGAACCCCCTCCTGTTCAGATGCCCAGATCTGGTAAGTAGAACAAACTGAGGTAGCAGGTCCACTTTGTGCATCAGGAGCCTGCTAAAAGTCGCCCATGTTCCAAAATTAAGACGGGAATAGAATAGGTTGGTGCTTGAAAAATTAGCGATTGTGTATTTTGGTTTCTTCCAAAGACTTCCACTCACACAAATAACAGGTCAGAATGAAGCACCTCAAGGAATTGCTGGCTCTTTTGAGACAGGCAGGATATTGTAAAACTTTACAAACGTTCTGTCACGTGGACAAATGGACCGGATGCACAGGGAGCCAGGAATCCTGCCTTCCGCCCAGTCCACATTATTAAAACTGGGAGCTGTCCCAAGGAGACGGGCCGTACCCATTCATGCCCACCGTCTAGGGGCTTCCAGCTAGGAAAGTGTCCCATGGATTGAAAATTGTGGGGTGTGACCCATTGCTCCCCTGGGGCCTGGAACCAGGGACGGGTGACTCCTGGGATGGGAAGAAAGGGGGTTTCCGATCTGTCGCAACTGAGGACATAAATTGGTAAATGTGAAAACAGAATATGGCTGAATCAGCAGCAGCAGCTCGTGCAAAAAGTGTAGTGACTGCAGCTTGGAGGTTTTCAGCCTCTTAACAGGATACCAGAGTTGGAAGGGACCTTGGAGGTCATCTAGCCCAACCCCCTGCTCAGCAGCAAACCCTGTATCATTTCAGGTGTAGGGTTTCCTCTTACAGTCTCCACAGCTCTCCTGCCTCCCTGGTCGTTCCTCTGGTCTCGTGAGGTTGCCCCCCCGAGGAAACAGCCAAGAGCCCCAGGCGTCCTAAGCCCCAGGCTGCGATAGTCCCGATAGCGAGATGGGGGGCAGCGGGCCTGGGGTGCTTCCTGGTGCACAGGGATGCATCGTCATGGGGTCCAGCTCTGAACACCAACCTTGGTTGTGACAGGGTCACTTCCTCAGTCCATGCTGGATTTCTCAATCAGCCTCACATGCAATGTGGTCCGGTTGAGGTCTGATGACGCATTGCTTAGTCAGGGACATACTTGCAGTTAGTAAAGAGCATGAATCGCTGCATGACGGAGCTCAAAGGGGCCGTTTAGACAATAGGAACAAAGTCCTGGCTTCCTGCAGAAATAAAAGCCTGCTTAGCCTTTGCCTTAAAATACCCGGTGAAAGAAAATCCAAATCATCATTGTGGGTTATGTGGTTCCATTATCCAGAACCTCCTACTTCTAGGATTATTTTTCTAAAGTTGGTATATTAAGTTGTAGCATTCTTAACAGTCTGCTGTGGGCATTAGCAAATCAAAAATGAAATCCCTTGAAAGGCCCATGCTGGTTTGTGGCCATTACATCTTTTGGAGTGCCTCCAGATCGTTCCGGGTGATGCTGTGCCACGGGAAGGACCTTGGGGGACGGGGGGAGGAGGAGGAGCCGCAGCTTAGGAGGCCAAAAGCCTTTCCCAAGGGACCCTCCCTAGTTTTTCGAGGACTAAAGAGAGAGGAGAATCCCTTGGGAAAGGCTTCCGGTCTTGCCCCACCTGTCCCCGAGGCGGCCCGAGTGGCCTTTCCTCCACCTGTGGCCTGCCTGCCCCCCGAGGGCCCTTTCCACAGGCCTCAGGGTCCCCTTGCCACCTGCACTCTCTCCCTCTGCCTCGGGGAGGAGATCCGTGTCTTTCGTCGGCCGTGTCTTCCTTCCCTGCCTTCGAAGAGGGAGGCAGCTTGGCTTTGCTCCAGCTATTGGCTGCCCTTCAGTCACGAAGGCTTTTCCGATATGGAGAGGAGCCCCTCGCCTCCTCCCTCTGGCAGCCCATGGCCCAGTTCCTCCCCTGGCTTCCTGCAGGTGGAAAGAGGCGTTTCTCTCCGTTTCAACCTTCAGTCCAGCTTCTGGTGGCATTTTTCATCTTTTTTTTGGGGGGGGGGGGGCGAAGGGTGACCCAAAATAGGCCTTGAGCAGGTCTGCCTTTCCTCTGTCGCCACCCCTTGGTCTTTACACTTCCCTCTTGAGCAGAGTTGGCATTTCCACCCTCTTTTTTATGCTTGCCGTCCTTAGAATCGCAGCCTCTGGTGAGACGGGTGGCTTACAAATGGGATAAGTTCATCAATCCTTCACCCTCCTCCTCCTCCTCCTCCTCCTCCTGAGCTTTGTCTTCCTCCCCGGGGATTTGCAGTTGTGGCATACCTGTTTGCCTCCTTCCTTTGCCCCCTGAGCTGTGCTTGTCCTCCTCCTGCGTTTCTTACCCTCTCTTTCCAAGAGGCTCTGCTCACCATTGCTAGCCCAGTGGCAGGTGAGGAGGGCGGGGCTCACCTCCCGCTTTGCTTCCATTTATCCCTTATAAGGGGAACTGTGTTTAAGCGGATGTAGCAAAAACAGAAGCAAAAAATGGAGAAAAGACATTTGGCTGCCCAGGGAATAGACGCCAGCGATTTGGGTCAAGCTGAAGAGATGTGGGCAGAGTCTGAGGCTCCGTAAGGGGCTGGACGATTATCCGAACTGGAGGGACGGCCATCGGGGCGCTCCCAAGGCTTAGGAGGGTCTGGCAGCCTACAGTCATGGGGCGGGGGTGGAGTCAATGGGACTGTCTAGCACTGGAATTAAACCCAAGATGCATGTTGGGTTGCGTGCAGTTTTGGTTTCCTTCAAGAAATGTGCTAGAGAGTCCCATTCCTCCAGTGTTTCCACTGTTCCGGTTCTTTCACTAAATTGTCCCTGTTGGTTAATATGGGATAGCTGACCTCCACCTGTCAGGAGAAAAATCTCAGTGAACAGATGAGGAATTCCCTGGGAGGATCGTGCTTGGTGACATTCATCGTCCAACTGATGTCACAGGGCAACGATGTTTATAAATATAAGTTGGCATCATTTCATGTGACTGAACAGAGGCGGCTCCTCCCTCGGAAACAAGAAGGAAGTTCTTGTGGCTGTGACTTCCGGCCTGAAGACAACTCATCCTTTCATGACCACGACTGCAGAACCATCTGATTCTGGAGATACTTTTGTCCCGGTGTCTCCAACTTTGGCAGCTTTACGAATTGTGGACTTCAACTCCCAGATTTCCTCAGCTGGCGTTCTGGGAGTTGAAGTCCACAAGCCGTAAAGTTGCCAGAGTTGGAGATGCCTGAATTCTGGTCCAGCACCTCTTGCCCAGTGCGGGACTCCTCCGCTGTCTAGCATCCCCAACAGGCAGCCTTTTGAAAGGCCTCCAACAGAGGGAACTACCCACCTCCTGAAGTTTCTCTTCCGTTGCCAAACAGCTGTTACTCGAAGAAAACATTTCCTGAGCTCCAGCCAAAATCAACTTCCTTGTAATGGGAACCCATTGATGTTTGTTCTGTCCTCTGGAATACTTCTGAACAATTCTGCCCCATCTTCTCCACAAAGGCCCTTCAGATAGTTAAGGGCAGCTTTCTTGCCTCTCAAACAAGCCCCGTGTCTCCTAAATTTCCCCTCCAGGCCCGTTTTGGTTTCTCTCCTCTGGACAGGCCCCTGGTGGGCAACGTAGAAACCCAGAAAACTGAGGGTAGAAGGAGAGCTGGGGTCCCTTTAAGTTTTGTTGCTGCTGTTTCCTTATTTATTGATTTATTATTTTTAAATTTTTGTTGGATGATAGCCATATGTTCCCCCCAGGCATGTTTAAACTCAGTTTCTGACAATTGACCCGCGACCTCCGCTGGAAGTTGCTACCAAGCTTGGGGGGGGGGGCTCTTTCTGTGAAGTCATCCCTTCTGACGTGACCTCTGAACTCCCCTCTTGGCAGTTTGTGATGTCTTTCCAGGAAGTGCTCAGAACTGGACTGTGGGTGCGATCGGAGCAGTGCCGTTAGAGAGGAGCAAGAGGTGTTAAAGTCTCTTGTTTGTTTCACACTCTTGCCTCACATTTGGGTGGTGATCCACCAAAGCCCTGAGATCCTCGCTTCCCGGAAAGTTCCCCTCTGGGGATTCCCCCCCCCCCCAGGTGCTGCCCCCGTGGAGGCTCATCTTGTGGGTCTCTGCTCAACGACTGCAGACGCCCCTAAGCCTTGGGAGCACCCCAGTGGCTGCCCTCCAGATCGGATAATGGTCCAGCCAGGAGCTCTGCTTCTGGTTGCTTCTTTTCAGCTTGACCAAATCGCTGGCGTCTATTCCCTGGGCAGCCATGTTGGGTTGCCGATCCTTTCTTTGTTACGTCTACTTAAGCCCAGATCCCCTTTAAGGGATAAATGGAAATACAGTTTGGGGTGGGCCCCGTCCTCCTCCCTGTCCCCGTCCTGCCAATGGGCCCGTCCCATTCTTTCCCTCCCTCCCTCCCTGCCTCCATGGAGCCAGAAATGCAGCCCCCGGGGTGGCTCTTGTGTGGCGCTTGCACTTCCACGGCTCCCGGTTCTCTTGTGCTTGGACTTGACAGTTTCTGGCCAGGAGAAAGTCCAGCTGCCAGATTCTCTTCCACAGCACCTTGTGAAGGGGGGGCGGGGGGGGGACTCCCTTCCCACCATTCTCCCCTCGCTTGGCGTATCTTGCAGGAACGCTACGCCAAGGAAATCAGCCCGGAGAAGGAGAACCTCATCCTCCTCAACAAAGCGGACCTGCTGGGGGAGGAGCAGCGCTTGGCCTGGGCCCGGTTCTTTGAGCGGGAAGGAGCCCACGTGGTCTTCTGGTCGGCCTTGGCAGAGGGGAACCGGCTGGGGGCCAACCCCAAGGTAAGAGCGGGGAGGAAAGCGGTGGGCGGTGGGTGGGCGAAGGAGCCCTGCTGGGCCCCCCAAAGACCGGAGGGTTACGTGGGGCCCAAACTTCCAGCTGCTTCAAGCGGCTGCCTTGAACTTCCTGCCCTTGCGTGGGCCCGCCTTGACCACTGTGGTCTTCTCCCCTCCCCCTCGGGCTTTCCTGGGGCTCCCCTCGGGCGGCTGGGCCACCTCAGTGGTGGAGGGCTTTGCAGCCACACCCTCTCTGGCCGGGGGGCGGGGGGAGGCATGGAGTCTGGGGGGAAAGCCAGCCCAGGTGGGTCTCTTCTGTGGCTTTTGGCCACAGGTGTCCCCTGTCCTTTGCTCAGGAGCTGGAAACCGTGGAAGCGGCCAGGCCGCTTGGCCGGGGGCTCAGCCTGAAGGAGGAGCAGAGCGCCCAGGGAGGGAGCCCCTCCGGCACCCAGCAGGAGAGCGACACAGAGGAGGAAGATGGTGACGTGTACGAGGACTGCGAGGAGGAGGAGGAGGAGGAGGAAGCCTGGCTGACCTGCTCTGAAGATGGGGAGCAAGAGAGCCCCCCTGTGCCTGTGGGGAGAAGCAGGCCTGAGCTCTCCCAACCAGCCCCGCCCGTCCGAAACAGCAGCCGCCTGGTGCAAAGGGAGGAGCTCCTGGAGGTATTCAGAGCCGCCCACGCTGGGAGGAAGAAGGTCAGAGAGGGAGAGCTGACCGTTGGCTTGGTGAGTTAATGGCTGCCCTGGGGACACACTGGCCACCAGGGCCTCCCTCCGCTTGGCTCCCTCCCTCCCTCCCTGCGGGGCAAGGGGGAGACGAGGTGGGAAGGGAGGGCTCTGTGCCCAGCGCTGGGGAAGGCTTCTTGGGGGAACGGGGGACGACGACACGGAAGCACTTTGCCTCATTGCTGAGTTGCAGGCCTAGAGGGGGGTGGGCTGCTGGGGGCTCCTCTCCTGATGTCACTTTCGGAAGCAGCGTTTTCACTGTCCGCAGTCAGACCTCCGTTCTGGCTTATCTCTTCCAGCCCACCCAACTTTCCCTCACAACCTGTTATGCGCTGCGCCCCTTCCCTTCAATTCCTGGGGCCAAAGAGGAGGGGCTCCTGTTGGGGCAGACCTCCCCTCCTGTGCAGCCCCTCCTTGAAGGGGACCCCTCGCCCCTCTGGGTCACCGAGGGCTTGTCAGGCACCTCATCTTCTTGGAGGGGCGGGGGGGGGGGGGGAGTTCCTTTGGGGAGCTGCCTTCCTGCAGCTTCCATCCCTTCCTGGGAGGGAGGCCGCCTGGCCCTTTCCGGCCCTTTCCCCAAGAAGCCCCCTTCTCAAAAGCAGCCGGCTCACACAGACGTGGCTCAGCCAGGCCAGGCTCCCTGGAGTGACCAGAGTCTGCTCCGGCCCCTCCCTCCCTCCCTCCCTCCCTCCCTCCCTCCCCAGGTGGGCTACCCCAACGTTGGGAAGAGCTCGACCATCAACACCCTCCTTGGGAAGAAGAAGGTGTCTGTCTCCGTCACGCCAGGACGCACGAAGCACTTCCAGGTACTGCACGGAGCCCTGTGGGCTGACGGCCAGAGCTCCCTCCCTTCCCTCCTCCTGCTTGGTGCCCCCCCCCCCATACCCCCCCCCCCCCGGGAAAGGCCTGGCCTCTGCCCCAACGCGGGGGGGGGGGCCTGGTCTGTGGCTGCCCTGGATTCCCCTTCCTGCTCCCTGTTGGCTGCCTCCTCCTTCTCTTGGGAGAGCCCAGGAGGTGGCGAAAAGCGGGGGTGTCTGTGTGCAGAAGCCCTGGGGTGGGGAGGCCCGTGGAGCCCCCTAGCTTTGCCGGCCGGCCCCCTCCCTCCTCACCTGCAGGAGGGAGAGGCCTTTTCTGAGCCGCGGGGGGGGGGGGGGCACCTTTGCAGACGCTGTTCGTGGAGCCCTCCCTTTGCCTCTGTGACTGCCCTGGCCTGGTGATGCCCTCCTTCGTCTCCACCAAAGCCGAGATGGTTTGCAGCGGCATCTTGCCCATCGACCAGCTGCGTGACCACGTGTCCCCCGTCAGCCTCATATCCTTCCTCATACCCATGGCTACGCGGGGGGGGGGG